CTTGAAGTATTGAAACAGCGTATCATCAAACTTGAGGCTGAGAATGCAGAGCTTAGGAAGGAGAATACTGTGATCCCGATCTTAGAAGAAAGATCTCAGAGTTCGATGCTGAAAGAGCTGAACTTAAGCGCACGATTGCTGAGACTCTAAGATCGAATGCAGAATATAATGAGAGACGTTATGCTGAAATTGCCAAACTCAGGACCGAGAATGTTGAGTTTAGAGATAGACTCACGAAAGTGGAACAGAATCAGTCACTAATTAATAATACTCCTATTGATAATACCCATACCTCTAACAATAACTCATCTAACTTCAATTCAGGTACAAACCGTCATGAAAAATCGTCACAGGAGAAAGAAATGGATATTTTCTTGGATGAAGAGGATAAGAAAATCGTTGGTGAAGATATTAGGCAACGCAATAAGGAAAAGAAATTCCAGCGTGAATCGGCTGGCCAGAATAACTCTTCTGATACTGCTTATGTATCAGAAACGGTTAACAATGATAAGGTGTCGGATGGGCCAGGGAGTCGAATCATTGATGGAAGTAATAGTTCTACTTCCTCAGATTTATCTTGTGGAATGGTTGTAATTACAGATATCTCATACACAGCGCCTCTCGATCAAGATTATGATCATGATCAGAAAGATATTGTTTCCTCCGTAATGGATTCAAATTTATCATGTGATATAAAAATCCTTAACAATGTTAAGAGATTTTCTGAAAATTCAAAAATATCACATGAGAAACCAGAGGAAGAAATTGCCAATACTCCTCTCAACATCTGCCCGGAGATAGATAGAAATGTAGAGATGGAAAGATCGAGAAAAGAAAATTCTTCTGATAGCTTACCAGGACACATCCTACTGACTAAGAATCGTGGGAATGTTCAGGCTTCCTCAAGTATAGTAACTGAATTCGTACAAGATTTGTTGGAAGAGCTACTCTCATCTGATGATCCATTTCAGACTATAAAGTTTTCTTCTCCCAAAACCATAGTTCCCAGGTCAATAAGCATCAAAAAACTTGCCAATTCATTCTGCCAGGCGAATGTTGCAAGAAATAAAATGATTGTAGCAAAGCGATTAGAGATTACGTTATGGTGTTTATTCTCCGAAAGGTTCGAAGATAAAGTTGTGGAGTTTAAGTCTAATGATAAGAAGCTTACAGATCTGACTGCAAAAAAGCGGATCTATAATGAAATGAAGCCATATCTTACGGACGTTTCGATTGGATATTTACAAGTAATGACCTGTAAAGTGAGAAAAATTAATAAATTATTTAGGTATAGATATAACCCTGTAACTCTGAAAAAAATTAAAGGTATATCAGGATATATGGTTCAGCGGGTTACCTGTAGCGCTAACAAATTTTCAAGGCTCACTAATCCTCAAATCGATTATATTATAGAACAAGACAAATCAAAAACAATCACTAGTCTCGTGAACGAAATCTCTGAGACCGTGGCTACTATTTCAGCTAATAACCCAGTCCTAGAGGGACCTCCAACTTAGATGATAATTTTAGTGATACCTCGGATGTTACAGATTATTTTAAGGAAGAAGAAGGGACAAATGAATCGACTGAAGTAAGTGTTCTAACTATGTCCATACCTGAAGAAAATTCATCCTTATCAGCCGAAGAGGAGGATTATCTAAAAATGATCACAGGATCTATTGACGAAGAGACCGCTTATTGGGGTACACCATACGAGGCTAGGATAGAGAAAGAGAACAAAACGTCGGTAAGTGTAGTAATCCCAGCATCGTGAGCTAAGATAGATATGTATTTTGATAAGGAGGAAGGAGAAACGAATGAAAGTGACAATGATTCCGATGCTAATGAATCTGACTCTGATGTCAATAAATCTGATTCTGATGTATATTTCAAATCTAATGACTCTGACTCCGATGATGAGTATGATCACGAACTACATGAAAGACTCACACGTGAAGAAATGGCAAGAATAGCAAAGTTAGAGGATAAAACACCAACTAAACCTGTCCTAGAGGAATATTTTCCTGAGGAGGAAGCAAACGAAGTTAAGCCAGTCGATGAAAATGCTACTAATAATCTTGATAAAATCATTATGGAAGTTTTAGAGCATGAGACATATTTTGATGATCCTGTATCTCAGTCAGTAATGAGTCCCACCATCTCTTCGGTAACTGCCTGCTGAGCCAGAGCGATGAAGTCAAGCGCTAAAGGCAGGAGAATTTTCGAATAGTCTGCAGAAATTAATTATTTTTTTCGTATCGATCATCCAGCATAGTAATTGAAACCCTTTATATTAATGCACTCAGAAGAAGCCTCCATTCATTTGTAATTTATTTCATGCATTACGAAAAATGTAACTATATATCCAGGCTATGTTCCCAGTCTAAGATCTAATGTATCGCAAATAAAAAACTTCAATCTCCAAGCTATTTTTTCGGGAAATTCATTCATATATATAATTTTTGCCAGAGCATTTTCTGGAATTACATGAGTAGTGGCTCCCGCAAGGAAAAAGATTCTGACAGTAGGGTCAGACAATTGAGAAAGAGCGGATTCTGACAAATTCAATAACATGAGTTTGCTGAATCTGAGCAATTCTATCTAACGTATTTTGATAATCCAGATTTTGACAATGTTTTGATCTCACTTTCGTGTTAATGGTTCATTAATATTCGTGAAGATCTATCATCGTGTAGTCGTTAGCCATACTTCTTGCTATTGTTCTTAAATAGTTTTAGACATTACTTAAATATCTGCTTAATTTTAAAGGCTTGTCTGATCTCCTGGGTCACTTGAATTGATATTTTTTCTGATCCTTCTGTTGTGACACTCATTTTGTTAAATTCAAATTTCAAAGGACAAATGGGAAACAGATAAACGGGTAACAGAAAAAAAGTTCCTTTATGACTAAAAAAATTGCGAATGATCGTCAGACAATCATGTAAGGAAATCGATCACCTGAAATACATAGAAGATATTTGGTAAAATTCTTGCCGAAGAATAGGGGCTGAAGTCGATTATTTTTCTCGTGTGAGAGGTGATTGGTGTGGATTCCTCTGGAATCTACATACTAATTTTTTATTTAATACAGGGTAATTTAGAAAATCTGGATCGGCTAATTATTGGGCAATATGATTTCCAGTGAAGATCCAGGGACTTTCATGTTTTGCGATGATCGTTGCTATTAACTGCAGAAAGGTCTTAATTATAAAAACCGTGTGTATTGGAGGAGAACCGTTTCTAGTAAGAAAAAAAAATCAAGCTAAAATGCTTTCAAACTCTGATATGTTTTTAATCGTACTATTCAGCATCGTAATTGTAATCTATGAGATGCTAACCCAGGGTGTCCTAACAATAGAGGCACTCCAAGATATTTTCGCAGGGAATATCATAATATACATAATCTTTGCAGGGGGCATATTATTTTTACGCAAATATCTCTCTCCAACTCTGACCTCACAAATTGCCAAACTTGAAAAATAAATATTGGCATTAAATAATGAAATACAAAAAATAAAAGAAGAGACAGAATGGGACCGCGTATCACAAGGTAAGAAATATTCTGCTCTTTCTAGTTATCTTTGCATATATCCTCAAGAGTAAATAGGTACTAACTTTTTATTATTTATCATTTAGGTTCATCTCGATTCTCTTCTAGTCATATATCTACCAGCCAATATTCGGAATATCCTGATGAAGTCCAAACTTTATAGGTAGAATTTACAGCCTTATTTAATCAAAGAAGAAGGAGGGAGGGCGCTTTTACACACAATTATACAAAATAATTTCTCAAGAAATTCATCTAAGTTCTGCGACTTTGGCGAGTTTGTACCACCATCAAAAAACTCTGAGAATTACTTCCTTAGATAAAATCGAAGAATGGGTTGAAAGAGAAGGGAGGAGAGATTCTAGTAGTAGCAGTAGTAATGGTGATAATGGTAGTTAGCAATAGTGATAGGAAAAAAAAATTATTAGTATAGAAATTTACAATAGAGCAAAGAAATGACTTAGTGCTGGGATACTCATTTATGGCTTAGAATCCGAGTACACTTATCCTCTTAGAGTCTTTATGGCTCTATAGGCATCATTTATTTTAAACGCTATCTTCCTAGCCATTTTTTATATTTCTTAGCCGGAAAGACATTTATCTGAAAATTCAATAAAGTTTCCCTATGTAGGATCTGTAAAATGATTAGCATAAAATTATGAAAAGTGTATATAGTGTTAGGGAACTGTCATAGAACTCCTGTGATATGATACGTCATATATCTCTGATTAATGGATCTGAGAATAATTTAGCCGTTATATTACCCCAAAACTGATTTAATCGAATTATGACATCGGGAAAATCCCTTACATACATGTAAATATGAGAAAAAAGGAACTAGCATAACCGAGATATATGACCCTATATAAATCTCCTGATATGTTTGTAATCGAATAAAAATGAATCTGATATTTTATTATCATATACTTGCATAAATTACTATAAGTCACTAAAATTGGTAAAAACGTTATAAATCACTAAACTGCTATCCTATATTTGTAAAATGGTTAAAACTAGCTACTATTCTGGTTTAAATCCTATAGTAGTATAAGCAATAACTAATTTGCATTACAGATATAATGATGAAACGCCAAAAATGTGGTATTCCCGTATTTGTGTTCTATTTAAGAAACTTATCGAATATAATCCAAGAATCTTCTCAAAGAATGAATATATTCATATGACTGATAGATTATATGAAAATGGAAAATTCGAACCTGGAAGACATACATTTCATATTTATTGTACTGCATGTGATTCCTTAGTATTTATTTTTAAAAATACCGAGAAATGCGCAGATAAGCATCTGAATGAATGCATTGCTAAAATAGAGCTAAGACGTATCGTATATGTTAGATCTATATTATGGAAACGAAAAATAAAATGTGCTTAGTCGTTATGAGATTGGTGAGCTTTATAATGTTTATTTAGCATACAAAAAAAGCTATGAAGGGCATTATCCTGATTGGCCAGAATTTACGAAAAGAATAGTATATCGCGTTTTAAATAGTGCAAGAGCTATCCAACAGGCTTAGTGGAGTTATAAGTTAGGACCTGAGACAAGGGCACAGCGAGACTGGAATATGATGAGAAATGATGGTACTTCTGATAGAAAGAAATATTTAGGTATGATTAGTAAAGGACAGATGGTAAAAAATCCTGAG